CTGTAAACAAAAATCGAGTCAAAATCATAGACTTAAGACCATCAAAAGCTAAGCGCACCTTATGTGGGAAGGCCTGGCGCAGTGGTGAAGTCCTCCCCACTTGTGCCAAGAGGTCCTGGGTTCGAACCAGCCTCTCTGCATTGCACTTTGCAGGGGTAAGACTAGGTTCCTATAATCCCTCCCCAGACCCCACCTTGTGTGGGAGCTTCTATGCACTGGGTCTGTCCTTTACATAGGGCATAAAATTATTTTGCAGGATAAATACAACAAATACCATTCATATATGTCCAATATGTATACTTTGTTATATAGCACTCCCTACGTTCACAAACATAAGTTGTTTTGGATATTTCAATATGGAATACATACGGATTGAAATGAGTGAACAAGCACACTAAAACGTGTCTATATAAATCCGATTCACAAAAAAGTTGGAACATCTTATATTTGTGAAGGGAGGGAGTAGTAGTCAAAGTTGTGCTTCAAAGACCGTGAGAAGTCAAGTGCGCCTTACATTTTGGGAAGGATGTGCATCAAACAAGTGTGAAATGTTATGTGGAGAAAAAAAACAGTTAGTGAAAACCAGAGCATAGGCAGCAAGGTAAAATGGGTTAAAAGTAAAATATTCATATGGCAACATTGCTCTGTATGTTTTTCTAGCATTACAGTGTGATCTTTAGATTGCCCTGAGTGATGAGTATACAAACCAAGAAAAAGAATGCCAATATGACATGGAGTGTTAAGTATTAACCATCATCATTCTATATCATTGGGGTTTGCTAATGATTGTAGGGTTCACTTGGTTGGAACTATTTCCTCTTACTGGAAGAAAGCATCAGGTAATTTCAATCCCTGAACAAAGATCTTACAAAGTATCAGAATCACTCACCACTAGAAAACCTGATTTCTCCTGAAAACCCGCCCAGCTCCGAGTCCACTGTGCAGAGGTTCTCGGAACGCCGATCGTAGGGGACTACAAGTACGGGCGGCAAGCGCACCAGGACTGGACGCCTCTTCCCGTGCCGCAAACCGTCGACGAGGAACTGCTCAGGAAGCAGAGGCTTCCCTTTGGCCTTGTCCTGGGTGGCGGGAGCGTCGCGGAGGAGCAGCCTCAGTTGCATCTGCACTGCAAGCAGATGATGCTCCCTGATATCTCAACTGCCGTCCAAGGGTTGCAGTCTGAAGACGCCGAGCGTGACTTCTCGGGTCTCGAGAAGCTCAGCTTCGTTGCTCCATTGCCGCTGCACATGCGGCTGAGCTGGGAGGTTTTGAAGTCCGTTGACAAGTAATCGAAGAGTGGCGTCTGAGTCTGTCCGTTCTCTACGCCGACCTACTGTGATACAGATGCTGTGTTGCTCAAGACTATAGCCACAGAAGTTCACCAAAAGATCTCATTTTAGTACTATAGCACAGTGACAGCGGTTCCTTTTTTCTTTTTGTTAGGGAATTCACTATCCACCACATTTTCATTTTCTGTTTGGAGCCTTAACGCTCAAGGGATGTACTTTAATGGTTACATTGTTTTCAATCGGCAACATCGTTTATAGTAGATCACTAGTGATCTATAAACGATCTTATATGTATCTAACATCTTGTCAGCTAAGTATGAAGCAATCACTGAGCATGAAATTGTATGACACAGTTGACCAATATCATGGTCAAAATGCAGCTTATTGCACATCTCATCTTGGCACGATTATTGCACAGGATGCAGCTTATTCACTAAAATATGACAAATTATTGAACAGAAATATCTAGTCGATTTTGTCAACACAATACAGTTGAAATCAAATGCTTTCCTTCATCAGCCTTCACTGTGTCTCAAGAAAAATGCAAAAAAGACCGCGGAAGGTAGAGCCAGAAAAGCAGGCCAAACCGCCAAAGTTACATTACAGGGTATTTTGACAAGCTTGCAGTGTTAAAAGAAAAATGCTAGCTAATCCTTTGTTGGTTTTAAGCTTGGAGCTTCAAAATACATTACAGCAATGTGCCACTACTTCAGTGGTCCCAACCCTATCGATGCACGCAGCTTGTTCATCTCTATAATCTCTGGATCATTAGGATCTGGACCGTTCCCGCTGCCCTTCTTCTCTTTCTTTTCCTTTCTCTTCTTATTAGGCTCCTCCCTCGGACCATCCTCGGCACGCCCTCGAGGAGGACTGGCACTACCACGGCCACGCCTCTTACGGAGCTCTCCCACTTCACGGTCTCTTTCACGCCGATCCCGGCTCCTGCTCCTTGAGCAACTCCTGTGCCTGCCACGGTCTCTGTCCCGGCGTTCCCTTTCCCTGCCATCCCGGTCTCGATCTCGGTTGTAATCGTCATCTCGGGTCCGGTGACGGTCTCGTTCCCTATCCCTCTCTCTATCTCTTTCACGGCCTCTATCTCTGTCTCGATCTCTTTCCCGGCCTCTTCCATAGTCCCTGTCATGATCCCGATCTCTGTCATGATCTCGGTCCCTGGAAAAACAAAGATCAAAAGGCACAGGCAGTCATTATGTAGAGACCAAATCAACACACTGATAGCTAGTGCATGTATCACAGAGAAACATCACACCAAGTTTTCATAAGTATGTCAGTAACCTCAAACCACAGAATGAACATGCTGAGAAACTACAGATCATTTAGTCACATGTCAGCACCTCAAAACCATAGACAAAACATGCCGAGAAACAAGGGATCAATAGTTATTCAGCAATTGCCCCCATTCCCCATACCTATGAAAAACCTCTGGCCAAATAATCAAATCCATTTACATGACAATTAAATGGACCTGGTGCCTTCAGAAAGATATGTCTACAAAGCAGGTACTTTTTTAAGATCTTATCACATTTGAACATCTATCAGGCTTCCATTCCTAAAACAAATCTGTCCAACCCTGATAAAATATTTTGACCCACATAATTACTTTTACGCAAGCACCTACAGTACTCTCCACCATATGAGTTTATTTTCTCAAACAATAAGTCTACAAAATTACAGGCTATAAAATGGGCAAAAGTTCACACAGATGCTTAAGGGGAAACCATAACAATAACTGTAGTTTACTGAACTTAGAAAGTAGCTCAATGTTAAGAACATCGTACACTTGTGCACAGCTAATGAACATGACCAGCTATCAAAAAAATCATTACAGTTCTTTATGACATAATCCAAAGTTAAACCCTTAGGCAGTATCTCAATACATCCTTAAAAAGTGAGTTTCCAAAAATGACCGAATCCTTTTCTTCATTTGGTTATGAACAAACAAATCTCAAACTGATCTTATCTAGGCAGAGCATCAAGCTTAGCTATGCAATTATATCAGGTTCTATACATTTATACATGAAAGAAAGGCTTCTTAACATGGACTAAACAAGAGCAACAAAACCGATAAGCAAAATGTTCAAATTTGAACCACTGTGGATAAGAACTATCTGTTTGGTCCATCATACTTCTCACTGCACACTATCAGTGCAAAGAAACCTGGCAGAGCCATGATTATTCACTATAGGAAGCAGCTTGCCTACCATGGCTCTTGACATTAACATGCCATGGCAGTAACTCTAGTATGCAAAATAATGCAACTGCAATGCTACAGCATCAGCTTCCAGTATGATCTCCAGGATTAAACAACTACTCCCTCCGTCCCATAATGTAAGACGTTTTTTCACTCTAGTGTAGTGTCAAAAAACATCTTACATTATGGGACAGAGGGAGTATAATAAAAGCTCCTGCGCTGCTCTTTGGCCTTCTTAGCATTTTTACATTGCATACTTTCCAATGATTTGCAATTTCTGCTCTCAGATTATTTGCATTTTGGATATAATCTAGTTGCCAAAACCAAGATAGCAAAATGCTTATGGCTTCTAATTTAGTATATATTTTCCAAATTGATGTGGCTTCGCATGACATCACTAATACATATGATGTATCAACATGAAAAAAAAATGAGATTACTTCTATGCCCTTAACCAGTAAGAAGAAATAGAACATCGGTGACTTGAACTCTCAAAGAGCGTGTAAATCAACATCATACTCAAAACTTGCCGGAAATGAATATAAGCTCCTTTGGCTCTTATCTGATTTTTACTTTCATGCAAGAGCAATATGCATGCTAGGCACATTAAGCTTTGGGGAAAACACTTACAATAACTCGTTGGCAAACCCATCTGGCACCGCTACAAAATTCTATGAGGCTCTATACATTTTAGACACGATTAAAACAGGCTTCTTACATGTTTTTATAAAAGCAGATACAAAAACAAGCAAGAGCTCTTCATTTCAAAAACTCAAAAGGTTGTAAGCGGCAGAAAAATGGAGGATGTGATGAAACTGATATGATAAAGTTTAACATAAATCCGAATAAGATAGCAAATTTCAATAAGCGAAAATTTCAAATTTGGACCAGTTTGTGATTTTAAATCTGTTTGGCACATCATACTTCTCAACTGCACACTATCAGTGCAGAGAAACCTGGCAGGGCCACAAACATTCACTGTAGGAAGCAGCTCATCAACCAATGGCTCTTGACATTAACATGCCATGGCAGTAAGTACTAAGTGTGCAAATATGCAATGCAACGCTGCAATGATACAGCAACAGCTTCCAGTACAATCTCTATAGCTAAAAGTAATACAATATCAAAAGAAAATAAAGAGAAAGTCACTGTTTCAGTCTTGTGCAGTGATACAAGACAAGTGAACCTGCTCGTGCATGGCTGCCCCAGAAGCTCTTACTCTGCTTGTTGGTTTTGTGTTATTGAGTCACGTCCATGTATGAAAAGGATAGCTTACACGGATGTGGTAATTTTCCTATATATATTCTACAGTTAACAAAACCAAGATAGCAAAATGCTTAGGGCTTCTAAGTATATATTTTCTAAGTTAATATGTCTTAAGCATGACGTCACCAACATTTATCAATGTAAAATCAGTGAAACATAGGTTACTTCTGGACCCTTAACCAATAAGAAAACAGAACATCCCTTGGCCTGAACTCCCAAAGCACACAGTAAACAGAGTACTAAAAACTTGGCATCCGATGAATATTAACCAATCAGCTCACACCTGATTCTTCCTTAAGCACGAGAGCAGTACAGATGCATTTCAAGAAACAATAGATAAGTCGTTGACAAACCATCTATGTAACAAGCAATTCATATATAGCAGATACCTGTGATGCCTTTCGTGTTTCCTGTCTCTGTCCCTCTCCCTTTCCCTATCCCGTTCTTTGGTGGGGCTCCTTCCACGAAGATGGTCCTGTTAACACGTTAAAACAAGTCAACACCTCTGGTCAACAAATTAGGCGAATTGATTTAGATCATTTAGCAAGTATGCTCACCTTTTCACGAGTGTTAGGCTCGTCTACGTCCATAGGCTGTCCATCCTCCTTATCTTCCTCCTCTTCATCAAAATCGTCTTCAAGTGCACTTCTTCTAGGTTCTAGAGTTCCAGAAGCTTCAAGGATCCATCTGTTGAAAATATTCATAAAAATGAATTTGTGAAGCATCTGGAGCACATCAAGAGGCAAACCTGTATTTAAGATTACTGACTAGCGGTCAAAAGAAAATATCTCTAAACCAAAAACATATTACTGAAACACACATGACAACTGCTCCCTCCGTTCCAAAATAGATGACTCAACTTTGTACTAACTTTAGTACAAAGTTAGTACAAAGTTGAGTCATCTATTTTGTAACGGAGGGAGTATGTGTTTAACAGAGAGGGAACAATCATCAACTCCAATCTTTAACACAGAGAGAACAGTGAACAGCTTCAATCTCAAAAGGGGTAACTATCTTTTTAAGATGTCGCTAGTCTCAAAACATCAGCGAGAAATTGAGCAGTAGCAGATGGCAGGGTAGATGCAGATGTCGCAAACAAGATAAATTTCAACTGCACGGCAGAGTTTGGGACAGAGAAAATCAAACCTTTTCTGAATGCGGGGGAGGGCAGTGTCGCAGCTATAGTCCTTGGTCAGGAGCTCGTCAATGAATTCGTCAACGTGTGTCAGCGTGAATTCTGAAACGAATACAGATGATCAATGAGTAAAATAACCGCATACCCCCAAATCTGACATCTCATACACCTAGCTAGCTACCAGCATAAGTAACAATGTGATATCAAAAGAAGTAAATTTGGAGTGCATACTTCCATCGCTGAGCTTTTGCCTAATCTTGCGGTAGTCGTTGTAAAGCGGCTCGAGGTACTGGTAAACGTCGGCGACGGTGCCAGTGAGGCGCAGGTAGAAGGCCCCAAGAACCCGGACATACCTAGAGCAGAAACAACAAGATAAGGGCATCGGTTTTTCAATTCAATGCCTACCAGAAGCAGTAGAGGTAGAGGACGGAATCGACGAATACGTTAAAGAGGGAATTACTTGTAGTCCTCGTTCTTGATGAACTCGACGACGATTTCCTTGTCGGGCTGGATCTGGAGCATCTTGAGGGCGAGGCAGAGGAAGGGGGTCGGCCTGCGGTTGCCGCCGTGGGTGCCGCCGGTGTGGTCGAGCTCCATGGCCTTGTCGACCAGGGTCTCCGCCGTGAGGCCGAAGCACTGCTCCTTCCAGTAGTTGCTCTGGTAGATCTTGGCCCGCACGATCTTCTCCACCAGGTTCTGAGGGTTGGTGCCGTGGATGCTCCGGGCCAGGGGGTCCGTGCGGTTCGCCATCGTCGCCGGCTCTCAGGCGCGGGCGCCGAGGGCGGCCGAGGCGGCGGCTACGCCGCTCCGCTGGTGGGGGCGGGATTAGGATTGGGACTGGGACGGGGACTGGAATTGGGGTTTGCGGGCAAAACCCTAGTAGACGAGCCAGCCCCGCGGGAGCTTTTGAACCGACCTTGGCACCGGCACCAAAATACTCCCTCTGTAAACAAAGAACAAAGTGATCTAAACGCTCTATTTGGTTACGGAGGGAGTACAATGCAGTTTATTTTTCTTTTCCTTCTATTACACTTTCAAATAACATGATTTTACACTCTTTTCTCTTCTTGTTAAAAAGACAAATCTCTGCATTAATGAAACATCAGCATTATAAGAAAAATGTACTAAATAAATAATAAGATACGATCCAATCCTGGGAGAATCCTCCTGCCACTCCGTTCCACACATGCAATAGCACAACGATGTTGTCACGCCGGAGTTCCGCATTGTCAATGAAACAAGAAAGTAGTATCCACACACACAAGCGGGAAGTGTCGGTGACATTGATCCCAAAGGATCCACGGACTGGATGAGTAGAAGATGGTGGCTCGGTCACATATAGACGTCCGCTCGAGTCGACGAGATAACCAAATCTACGTCATTGATACCGAAGCACCATCGGCTAGACTACGACACACAAACTCTCGCTGCTTCCAAAACATGTCCACCTGATCTCGTCTCTGTAACGGGCAGCGCACTGACCATCGAAGCAGAAGAAGACGTTATTTAGCACCACCCCCACTACTAACGGAAGTGAAGTGACGAGCGGAGAAGACCTACCTCTTTGCATGATCTCATTTGTTGGATCTGATAAGCACGCATCAGCAAGCCAAAGAAAATGTCTGGGGAACCATTTGTTTGTCGGTGATGAGTCAAAGTATTTATCGGCATGCCTCCCTTTGACGCCCAAGTGGGCCCACAAAGCTCAAGAAAATCAACCTACCCTAGAAGGATTGCCATCGCCTCATGAGGAGACTTGCCACCATACAATGCCAATGGAACTAGGAAACACTCACTAATAGGAAAAAGAAGTCAAACGCGTTGTATATCAACACCCGGGTCGACTCCTACCCCTGCATGCCTTCAATGCACCAACATTGGAGGTCTTCCATAACATGTGTTATATAAGGGGTACCAAGGGCACCGTAGAACGGGACCTCTTCGTCGCCATAATTTAGTCTATACCACATAGAATGATTCCGGTGCTTATCTGTGTCAAAACCGGCGGATCTCGGGTAGGGGGTCCCGAGCTGTGGATCTTGGATCAATGGGGAACATGGGACAAAGGACACGATTTTTACCCAGGTTCAGGCCCTCTCTAAGAGGTAAAACCCTACGTCATGCTTGATTATATTGAAGTGTATAGGATGATTACAGAGTCGTTCTACCACGAGATCAGATGAACTAAACCCTAGGCTAGTAGGATGATGGTTGTTGTTCTAACCTCTACGGACTAAACCCTTCGGTTTATATAGACACAAGGGGTACTAGGGTTACACATGGTCAATTACAACAAGGGAAATAACATGTCGAATCTCCTATCCTGACTTGGAGGACACACCAAAATCTCCTGTCCGGATACGACACTGCCTCATAGTCCGGTCTTCCAGCAACTGTAGTGCGGCCCACCTGTCCGGCCCATGAAAGATGAGGCAGCGACCCGAGGACCCCCTAGTCCAGGTCTCCTTCAGTAGCCCCCGAACTAGCATCCAACGCCGGGGTTCGTAATTGTCGGCCACCCTGTGCGCCCCAAAGTCTTCGGCTTGCGAGGCGAGTTCTTCACCCCTTCCTTGTTCAGCTGTTTTAACAGTTCGGCCGCCGATGACCTCCTAATCCGTCAAGTCATTGTAGGACCCTTAGTATTAATTTTTATCAAGGGTTAAAGATAACCCTCGACTTCCGTTCACTCATCAGGAGGCAGACAGTCCAACACTCTTTTATAGAAACGCCCCTGGGACCAGAAAGCGTCCCCATATAACAGGTCAGGAGCGCGACGGCTGGTTAATCCATCCAAAACAAGAGGCCAAAGATCGAACCAAAGAAATTTTGGGTCAAATGGTCAGCGCCCTCATGGCCCTCTCCCGGGCGACTGGGCTAGCTGCTCGGTTCCACGCCTCTAGTTAAGCAATCTCCAAACGCAAGGATATCTTCCTGTTGCAGATCTCGTATCTGTCCACGCTGGATTAACTTCTATGAACGATGAGGCCTTGATACGTCTCCAACGTATCTATAATTTTTGATTGTGTCATGCTGTTATATTATCAATCTTGGATGTTTTATAATCATTTTATAGTCATTTTATATCATTTTTTGGTACTAACCTATTGACATAGTGCCAAGTGCCAGTTGCTATTTTCTTGCATGTTTTTACATCACACAAAATCAATACCAAACGGAGTCCAAATGCCATGAAACTTTACAGAGATTTTTTATGGACCAAAAGACACCTAAATGGGCCCTGGCTGCGTCTAGGGGGTGCTTCGAGGAGAGCACAACCCACCAGGGCACGCTAGGAGGCCCAGGCGCGCCCTGGTGGGTTGTGCCCACCTCGGGTGCCCCCGGACCACCTCTTTGCTCTATAAACACCCCAATATTCCCAAAACTCTAGGGGAGTCGACGGAATATTGATCCAGCCGCCGCAGAGTCCAGAACCACCAGATCCAATCTAGACACCATCTCGGATGGGGTTCACCACCTCCATTGGTGCCTCTCCGATGATGCGTGAGTAGTTCTTTGTAGACCTTCAGGTCCATAGTTAGTAGCTAGATGGCTTCCTCTCTCTCGCTGAATTCTCAATACAATGGTCTCTTGGAGATCCATATGATGTAACTCTTTTTGCGGTGTGTTTGTTGGGATCGGATGAACTTTGAGTTTATGATCAGTTATATCTTTTTATATCCATGAAAGTATTTGAGTTTCTTGATCTCTTTTATGCATGATCTCTTATAGCCTCGTATTTCTTATCTAGTATTTGGGTCTTGTTTGGCCAACTCGGTCTATTTATCTTGCAATGGGAAGAGGTGCTTTGTAGTGGGTTCGATCTATGGTGCTTGATCCCAGTGACAGAAGGGGAACCGACACGTATGTATCGTTGCTACTAAGGATAAAACGACGGCGTCTATCTCTACATAGATAGATCTTGTCTACATCATGTCATTGTTCTTATTACATTACTCCGTTTTTCCATGAACTTAATACACTAGATGCATGCTGGATAGCGGTCGATGTGTGGAGTAATAGTAGTACATGCAGGCAGGAGTCGGTCTACTAATCTTGGACGTGATGCCTATATAATGATCATTGCCGAGATATCGTCATGATTATTTGAAGTTCTATCAATTTCCCAACAGTAATTTGTTCACCCACCATTTGCTATTTTTCTCGAGAGAAGCCACTAGTGAAACATACGGCCCCCGGGTCTCTTTCTCATATATTTGCCTTTGCGATCTACTGTTTCTTTGCATTTATTTTTCAGATCTACTAAACCAAAAATACAAAAATACTTTGTTGCACTTTATTTTATTTGCGATCTATTTATTCAATCTATTACAACTTTATGTCGTCCATGCACCAATTTCTGGCGTCGTTACCCGAAAGGGATTGACAACCCCTTTAACACGTCGGGTTGCGAGTGGTTGTTATTTGTGTGTCGGGGCTGTTTACGTTGTGTTGCTTGGTTGTCCTACTGGTTTGATAACCTTGGTTTCATCACTGAGGGAAATAACTACCGTCGGTGTGCTGCATCATCCCTTTCTCTTTGGGGAAATACCGACGTAGTCCTAGCCGACATCAGGCCTTCGCGGGGAACTCCCCTACCCCAAGCAAGGAAGAGAGGGTATGTATTGTGCCTTTCCTTCTACGAGGTCTAGGCTTCCCCATTCACCCCTTCTTGCGGGGCTTGCTAGAATTTTACGGGATCCAGCTTGACCACCTCACCCCCGGACCCATATTGCACATCTCCGGCTTTGTTGCCCTTTGCAAGATGTTCTTGGGTTGTGAGGCTCATTTTGAGTTATGGAGGAACTATTTCCGCCTCGCCTCCCGTACCCGTGGGGGATCAATTTTTGAAGTAGACGGAGCTGAGCTATGGCGCATAGCCTGAATGGGGTTCGATCTTATGGTGCTTGATCCCAGTGACAGAAGGGGAACCGACACGTATGTATCGTTGCTACTAAGGATAAAACGACGGTGTCTATCTCTACATAGATAGATCTTGTCTACATCATGTCATCGTTCTTATCGCATTACTCCGTTTTTCCATGAACTTAATACACTAGATGCATGCTGGATAGCGGTCGATGTGTGGAGTAATAGTAGTAGATGCAGGCAGGAGTCGGTCTACTAATCTTGGACGTGATGCCTATATAATGATCATTGTCGAGATATTGTCATGATTATTTGAAGTTCTATCAATTTCCCCACAGTAATTTGTTCACCCACCATTTTCTATTTTTCTCGAGAGAAGCCACTAGTGAAACCTACGGCTCCCGGGTCTCTTTCTCATATATTTGCCTTTGCGATGTACTGTTTCTTTGCATTTATTTTTCATATCTACTAAACCAAAAATACAAAAATACTTTGCTGCACTTTATTTTATTTGTGATCTATTTATTCAATCTATTACAACTTTATGTCGTCCATGCACCAATTTCTGGCGTCATTACCCGAAAGGGATTGACAACCCCTTTAACACGTCGGGTTGCGAGTGGTTGTTATTTGTGTGTCGGGGCTGTTTATGTTGTGTTGCTTGGTTCTCCTACTGGTTCGATAACCTTGGTTTCATCACTGAGGGAAATAACTACGGTTGGTGTGCTGCATCATCCCTTCCTCTTTGGGGAAATACCGACATAGTCCTAGCCGACATCAGGCCTTCACGGGGAACTCCCCTACCCCAAGCAAGGAAGAGAGGGTATGTTTTGTGCCTTTCCTTCTACGAGGTCTAGGCTTCCCCATTCACCCCTTCCCGCGGG